AAGAGAAATTCCATCACTTTTTGTGATGCAAATATTTTGAAACAGGGAAGACATTCCTTCTTAGCCTTTCAAAGCAGATCACAAGATGTAATTACAGTAATTTTACTGCACAGCTACAAATACAAGCATGTGAAAGGCGTGTGGGCAGTCCTGCATGGCTGCAGACAAGGGATGGGGGATTTGTAGATCCTCAACTTCCAAACCCTGGATCACCTCCGGCCTGAATACAGTAGCAGCAACTGTCAGATATGTGACAAAAAATATATCATCCTATCATTATCTTTGTAGTGACAATAGTTCATTTTTTTTTCCTCAGGTTATCCATTGTTTAAGTACCCTCCCCCAGTTAGGAAATTGTGTCCTGTTCTTCGTCTGAATCTTCGTGAAACCGTCCTTCAGGCACTGAATTTTTCTTTTGCCAGTAGTACAAGAAATTCACCCTGGTTTTAGGTTTCTGTATGCAAGTATCTATACTCAGTGCTTGAGTCACATCTCAGCTTCTTGTCAGCGAGCTAAATAAGTTGAGCTCCTTAAGCTGCGAATCATGACTTGTTTTCCAGTCCCTGGAGACATCTGTGACCCTCTTTTGAACTCTCTCTCCCTCTCTGTCCTCATTACTTCCATATCTTTTCTGAGGTGTGGACAACAATGTACAAATAGCCATAAACGGTCAGACCAAAGGTGTATCTAGCCTAGCGTGCTGCCTCTGGCAGCGCTTCCCACAGGTGCCACGAGAAGATTAACAACAGTGAAAACAAGGTGCTGCGTTCTTCCCAACACCTCCTCCGGCATCCAAGTGATCTGCACCTCTTTGTGCTACGCACATGTGCTCTCAACCTGAACCAAGATCACTTCCCATTTTCTGCTTTATATTCCTGGTTGTATGGATCCAGGGACCACCTTAGCATATTTCTTGCCATTGCAGTGCCTCAGAAGCTCGCGGTGACACAGTCTGTGAAATTTTTTAAGTCCTCCATGGACCTGCAGCTTTCCAAGACAGCTTACTAGCTCTAGCAAACAAAACTCGCAGTCTGATGGAGCCAGTACACGTGATCCTTCAAGCTAACCTCTTGCCCTTGACTCAAGTCCTTATCTGGAAAGTCACCATGTGTTGCCACCTGCATAGATTGCATTGAACTGGGGTGTGAGTTTTTCCAGAAGGAAACATTCTGCACCTCCACGTTGTAAATTACAGAGTGCACAAGGTGAGGTATTAGTATTTGACTTCAGATTGCTTCCAACTCTACCTACTTTTCATCTCCTATTTGGAGACTAAGCCTTGCCTACTTTCCAGAGATTTCAGTAGAATGGACTCCAGCCTACTGTAACATGCCTGCAGTAACGTTACCTGAAAGCTTTCAATGATCAAAGTGTTCTAAAAAGTGTGAGAGCTACTTAAATTAAATAAAATATATTTAAATGTATAGTCGGCTCCTGGATTTTTTGAGACTATCTGCAGAGAAGGCTTAAAAAATAAAACCAGTGTTGACTGTCTTTCTAAAAGAAAACTGGCATTCCCTCATAGTAGCATAATTACTCTAGGTGTTAGGGCATTAAAAATAACAGCAACGTTATAGAGGAAAGGATGAGTTGGCAGTACTGCCACCACCTTTATTTCCTAGGACTTCCAAATGAATGTGAGAGAAATCTTATCATCACATTCGCATCTCCAAGTGTGCAGGTGTTTCCACACCACCCCCCATTCGCTCTGGTACGCCCAACCCCCCCGACTCCTGCTCTCCTTCATGCAGCCTCACCCCTGAATCGTGTCTCTGCTCCTCAGCATCACAGGCACAAGCAGACACATCCCCGCTTCCTTTATCTACAGCCGTCGCCTGCACGCCAGACCTACCCCGTCATCCACGCGTACGTATCCCAAAGTCAGCGCACACACGCCAGACCCCACACTTGCACACGGTGTCACTCCATATTTTATCCTGGAGATGGGACAAGACAAGAGGGTCCCCATTGTCCAGGCACTTAAGGTGCCCGAGTCCTTTTGAGAGGGGATCTCAGCAAAATGCCTTTTGCAGCTTGCTGGGGTTTAGGAGCTGCCAGCTAGGTGAATATAGGTCTGAGCTGCTCTTCCCAAATCGAGTGGTTGTGATGGATTATATTTATACCTTCACTGTTCCAGTCTTTGACAAACCATCCCACACATCTGTTATATTAGAAGGCTTCAACCTAATATTTTTTGAGCTGGGCATATGGGAACATGATTATATCATCTTTATTTGTTTTTCTCTATTCACTCTCACTCCTCCATTCTTCCCTCTCCCCACTGTTTATCATTCAAGGATCCACTAAAATATTACACAGTGTTTTTTACTCATCACCATCTTTTTCCCCCCTTGTCAACAGATGCTTACCCCAACTCTGAAGTGATCTATGTGTGGACTAATAGCACCACAACGTCTGTGGTGGTGGCCGAAGATGGCTCACGACTTAACCAGTACCACCTGATGGGACAAACTGTAGGAACGGAAAACATCAGTACCAGTACAGGTAGGGAGAATATTTCATCCCATGGTTGCTGATAGCTGGAGCCAGAGAGGAGATCCACAGGCTCCGGTTATTTTGCAAGGAGGCTAGGGAAGTATCTGTGGGACGTGGGCTGCTAGGGAGATCCTCTGCAGGTTCCTGGCTACTTAGCAAAGGCACTGAAACACTGAGAGGGTTGTATGCTGGCCCTTAGGTACGTCGCAAGGCTGTTGCTGAAGATGCATCCAAGCTCCTGCTATTTAACAGGAGCACTGGAGAAGCTGCACGGAGCTTCTTGGCGACCGCCTTTGCTCAGGCTACTCTGCACTATTACTGGCTTATTTCCCTGTGGAAGGAACCACGCCGGGAGGCAAACACCACCCACGCATTTCATCCGTTTCCATCATCGCTTTAAAATTATTTGCTTGATGAAACCACACGGGGGGAGGGAGCAGAGGGCAGGTGGCGGCCGTGGCGTGGTTCTGCAGCATGTCTGGGGGACCATGTGGCCAAAGAGGAGATGCAAACCCCAAGGATTGCCGTTTCCTCCTGGTCTGCAAGTGGAGGTGCCAGATGTGGCAGCATTAGGGAGGCAAAGAAGCTTTAATCCCAGGCCAGGCACCCACGTGAGTCGTGCCCCCCTGCTTCTTACAGCTCCCACGCAAGGACAGCCCTGGGCGCGCATTGGCAGGGGGACTCCCGGGGGGGTCGAGGCCGGGACAGGGGTCACGTGGGCTCAGCAGGATGGGGGCTTAACCAGGTTACACAATGCTCTCGTCTGGAGAGCATTAGTGGCATCCAGCGGGGACGGGGCGGGGGGAAAATAGTCTGACATGAAAGGAAGGGGGATTTACACTGCTGCTGGGTGCGCGGGGCTTGGGGTGGAGAGAGGGGACAGCCTGCAGCAACATGGCTGAGAGCAATTCCCGCTGGCAAAGCACGACAGAATCTTCTGGTGATGTACTGTGTCCCTGGTGAAAAATGAGGGGCTCTGAGCTGAAGGCAGGATTGTAGAGAACAAGTTATAGATTGAGTTAGGAAGCTGCTACTATCTGCAGGAAATTTAGAAGATGTGAAAACAGGTACACGTACACTTGCACACAAAGTTAGCTGGACCGAAACGTGAAGGCGCATAAAGCTTTCTACTCAAACTATCCAAGCACTGCAAATAAAGAGAGGGCAGCTGAGCTTGCCGCTTACTCTCCAAACAGAACACAAAGTGAGGGAAGGTTTGCCTTGGGCACCACAGGGGAACCACTAAACACAACCACCATCTCCATCCTATAGAGCTTCACCCCCTCCCTTGCCCATTTCAGGAGACACAAAGCTGTTGCTAAAGCAAAGATACCCAAAGTCAAGAGGAGCATATAGACAGTCAGAGAAGCCACTGCTGCAGAAAAAGGACAAGTGTACTATCTCCCATTAAAGAGCAAAGATACTTTTTTCCTTACCAGTTTACCATCATAGCTGCGTTGTTTTCTGCAATGAACGGCAGCTCCCCTCTCGCCTTCATTGTTGCCAAGAAAAAGATCCAGAGGATGTACTGAGGCATCTCCTACAAGCTTGTCCTGCTCCTCAGAGCAAGAAAACCCTCCAGCCCAGGCAGTGAGTGCTCCAGTGTGTCAGCTCCAGGCCACGTCCAGTTTGCAGCTTTGCCTGTGGAAGCTCCTTGTACTCCTCAGCCCAAGGAGGACTCTTCAGACAAATCCCAAAGTTTCTGCGCAGTAACCACCTCCCTCCTGTATCTTCAGATTTAGGCTAATAAATGCTAGTTTTCTAACGTCAAGATTTTATATTAATGTCCTGGGTTACATCTGGGCTGGCTGGATTCTGATTGCAGGGTGGATCACAAAGAGCAGGACACAGATTGTAACTGGGGATTAGCAAAATACAAAAATCCGATTTTGCGCAGGGAAAGCATCAGTCAGTGATGGATTTCCTGGACTTCATCAGCCTCGTAGGAGGCCAGTAATCAGGGTTACTTATGAACGGCTGTCTAACGCATTTCTTCCTTCTATTGAATTTTAGAATGTGAAAAAGAAAAAACAAATAGCTGCTGCACAAATCCAAGTGCTTGGATCTTTTGAGGCTTTTTTGATACACAATTCAAACTACACAGCCCTTGCAGTTGCATAGGCAAAATGTTTGTGAATGTCGTAGGACATTTATGCTATCCTTTCTAACAGGCTTTTTTTTTTAAATGGAAATGTTGGACCTACATCAATCCCTTGAGATTCTGCTGATTTTGTAGGCAAGCCGCTAAGTTTGGCTGTCTCCTCAGAAAAAATATCCTGGCATTGCCAATTTACCAACCAGGCTTGAAACTGGGAATGTTTTAGCCATGCCACAGAAAATATCTCTGACGTGTGCCACCTGTTTGGTTGTTTGGGTTTTTTTTTTTTGTGCTAACATCACCAAGTGTCATTCCCCCAAAAGAAGATATTTGACTATTCACACTGCTTCCAACATGCCCAACATCTGTTACGTCCTGGTGGTATGAGCGCTGAAAACAATCAGATACGGGATTTGGATCCAGGTGGATCTTGCTGCTTTCTGCAAATGGTTGCTCAGTTCTGTTCCCCATACCCAGAATCTCTCATCACTAACTTAGCATCTGCAGTGCCACAAAACAAAACCCCACTCTTTTATCTTCTGCCAGCTGGAGCTTGAGCTCTGAAATATCCAAAGCCTAAATAATAAAAGAAACATTCAGCCCTTCATTTTGCACCAAATAATTCTGATTCTTCCTTGAGATGACTTTTTTTACTATAAAAGGACACAGGCTTTTCTCGTGGGCCAAAATATTAACTCTACCCCAGCCAAAACCGGCACAGGATGTCAGCGTGGTCAGGGATGCGGCATCAGAGACCTAATGTCAAGATCTTTCCAGAACAGCTATTGATTAAGATACATCTGAGTCCAGGTATATCCAGTAAACAAACAAGTGTGGGGGCTGGTCCAGCCTCATTAAAATACTCTATTGAATCCCAGCATAATGGCGATAGAAGAATGCATGTAAGATCCTTGAAAATTTGTAAGCGTGATCTCCAGAACTCCATCATCTAGATACCAAAAAAATACTGTAGCAGCTTTTAAAGCATTAAAAAAAACCCTGAAGACCAGCAGCAGCACAGTAGCGTAGCTCTGGGAAGAAATGCAGCCACTCCCACTCTAGGGCTTTTCATTAGTACTGAATTTGTTATTAAAATTTTTTTGTGAAGTGATGAGTGGACCCCATCAGGAAAAAGATTCACTTTTAAGTTCTACATAAACCTAGAACAAAAATTGGCTCTTGCTCAAGAAAGCTTATGGTCTAAGGATAAATGTTGGCCTTACAGAAGTAAAAGGGATCTTTGCCACTCCAACAGAGCCAGGATTTTATCCTATATAAACAAAAGGCCAACTCAGGCAGCTTTTAGTTTTACTTTAAGCAGTGGTCCCAGGGTATTAAAAACCAAGGTGTGGGCTTTTCTTAAGCCCTAAATCTGCTGGAGGAAGCATTCCTAGCATAGGCAGTTTTGAAAGGGAGAGCATGGGAAATCGGAGAAGATATCGATTGGAAGAAGAGCAAGTACAAAATGAAAGTAATATCATTATTTCAGTGAAGACAAAAGCTTTGATAGGTTAAAGAAAATAATAAGGTAAAAATCAGCTGTGGAGGGCCATCAAAATGTAGGCATTCGTTTTCTGCATTTTAAAAAGGAAAAAAAGGCATCCTGTTGCTCTGCTGAAGCTGCCTAGATTTTTTTTTTTTTTATTCCAGTTCTGAAAGCATACTGTCAAAATCAATGATGCACATCGTCACTCCTTAGTGAGCAGAAAAACTGTGACTCAAACACATCCCAGTGCAGTAGCAACTCAGAAACAGATTACAGACAAATAGACCTTGCTGCTCTTGGCATGTTTTATGGGTAATCGCTCCCATATAAAGAGTAAGTGGGATTCCTCCTGAGACGACAGCATGTTCAGCATCCTTGGTTCAAAATTACACTAAAGGGAAGGGAATTAGATGTCGCTTCATAGGGATTTTCTCCCTAGTCTCACAGCATTCCTTGTCCATCTCCACATCCCTCTTCAGGGAACTGTTTCACCAGAAAATCAGATTCCAGAAGAAAGTCACAAAGATTGAGGCAGACTCTCAGGTAATGTATTTCTGTGCTATTCCAGTCCTTCACTCTAAAATCCTCAGCATGGACAAAGTCTGTAAACTTCATCCAGAATAACAGAACTCCTCTAGTATAACATATCAGTGCAGCTATACCTGCAAAAGCCCTTTCGCTGTAGACCTGTTTTCTGCTAATTAGCCATATTGTCACTTAGAAATAATCTGCCCAATCTAACTGCTTAGCAATGCTGGCTGCAGCTCAACTCAGGCTATTCACTCAAGGCAGAATCAGTCTGTTATGCATTTTCCTTTTGTGACTGGTCTATAGAGACTAATGGTCAAGTCTTGCAACAGAGATTACAGCTATATTTGTTTTGTTCTTGGAGGACACTATATATTTCAGAACAGCATTACTCTGATTCATCAGAACCCAGCTGAATGATGCATGCTTTTAAATTAATTTGATATCAATGTGAGTGGAGATCTATTAGGGCTTGAAGGGGTTGGTTGTTTTTTATTCTTACATTTGGTTTTTATTCTTATTTTTCCTGGACAAATAGTGGCCTGTTTTTAGCTAGCAAGGTTTTGGCTTTGGGGAGCAGTTACTATCAATGAATAGCCTTCAGTAACAGCTATATGGTTTTCCAGGAACAGCCTGAAAGAACCAGTTAAGTTTTGATTTTTCTGAAACATTAGGGAAGGTGACAGCTGGTCTGTCAATTTTGGAGTGCATTTTTTTAGGCTTTTATTGAAATTCAGAGGATCTGACAAAAGACAGATTAAGGCGATGCTATGAATTTGGCATATAAAAAAGGCATGGAATTTAGCACTGCTGTGGCAGCTTTCAGTGAATTCTCTGTGCAGGCAGTACAATATTCATTGCACAAGTGAATGGCACAATGTCTGTCCAGAAACAGATTATCTTTCCAAGGGCTAAGGTATACCAAACTAAGAAAACTGCATGCAGTAGGGGAATTTTTTTTTCAGGAGGAGCAATCTCATGGGTTTAGGTACTCAGGTCAATAAGGTATCCCAGGATCCATGTGCAAAGCTGCAGTTTTTGTGGCACTGACGCTGGGACAGGCAGTCCCTAAAGTGCGGTGCAGAAGGAGCATCTGAACCCATTCTCATTCTTGAGAACTGATGGCTTGACCGTAACAGTTGCCCTGATGACATTAAGTGCTGCTGCTAAATCAGGTTCCTAAGAGTAGATGGCCTTAATCGTTACTCCGTTAAGACTGTTTGTAGGACTGAGTAAAAAACTGGCAAGACTGAGACAGTGCCAGCAACCTGGATTTTTTAAGCCTGTGAACATCAAGACATCCCAGGTGCATTAAAGGACTGCAGCTTTTCAGTGCAGTAGTCATCAGTCGTTGTCTTCTGCTGTTGGGGACTGAACGTGAAGACTAGCAGGATCTAGCAGGACATCTGTCTCAAGTCTTGGTTTTCTACAGCGCAGAAATCCAGACACTTTTCGTGCAATAAAGAATGGCTGAATGGTATCCTCAAATGGGGGGTTGGAGCTGGCCTTCTTAAGTCCCTAAATCAGTCAGCCTCTCTTATTTTACCCACATGCACATTTTTTTCCTTCTAGGTGAATATACTATTATGACAGCCCATTTTCATCTGAAAAGAAAAATTGGTTATTTTGTCATCCAGACGTACCTTCCTTGCATTATGACTGTGATCTTATCGCAAGTGTCGTTTTGGCTAAACAGAGAATCTGTCCCTGCTAGGACTGTCTTTGGTGAGTATCCCACCTTCTCCCAGCACACGGGAAGGATTGGTCTGGCTTGTGGAAGTGATTTGTTGTAACAAACCCACAGTACACTAATGCTTATTTCTGCTTGAGGTATTCTAGACGTTCTCTTGTTCTCTTCCAGTTTAAACTCAAAATTCATTTAGAAACACTATCTGGGCTTTTTTGATAAAGTTATGACAGAAATTGCTCACAAATCAATTATATAGGAGGTTAAGGGCAGAAGACAGAAGATTCATGCTAGTGTGATTTGTTCTTTTTTTTTTTTTTCCACACGGGTAAAATACTGGATTATTTAGAACAAAAAAAACCATACATATTATCATATTTAGTGTATACTCTAGCTAAGCATTTGAAACAGATTTCACTTCAAGACATTTTGTTTACCTCTGTTTTAAGATGTTTATCTGGGAAAACCATGTAGAGGTTAATTAGTGACAATTATCTCTATTACCATCAAACAAATTAATATGATTTTGCATTTAGAAAATGTATATTTACTCCAGAAGTTGTCGTGGAAAAGTCCTTCGGGGTCTCTTAAATTACTCGATTTATCACTAGAAGATTGCAGAAAATAAACAGTCTTAAGTGAAGGCTGATGAAATACAAAATCTTCACTAGATGAAAAATGAGGAGAGCAGGAACAGTTTATTGTGTGAAACTTCATTCAGCTGTTCTTAAAAGAGTTGTTCTTCTGTACAAAGCTACTGAAATCAGTCAGCCGCTTTGATCAAAAATCAGTTCAGCAAGCTGTATGGGGAGAATACAGGTACCAGCATCACTTTGCTGACCAGTGGTACGCGTTCTAGGTTTAAAAAGCTGTAACTGAGAGCTGAATTTTGTCCTATTGCAGGCATCTTTCCACAGGTGAAAGTGGTAGCAGCTCTGTCATTTACTGGCCTATGGGAAAGGAGGAGCTACAGTCAAGGAAATCAATAACAGCCAACAATTTCATACATAAAATCTCCATGTAAGAAAATAAAATCAGTAGTCCCACTTTATTCTGACAGTTACTGCTGAACGGTTTGCTTACTGATTTTATAATGTACCGCTTAATGAGGGACACGCCATACATACCTTGCATTAGTGTACAGGGATAAAATACCAGGAAGGTTTTGGTTTATGTAACTGCTGGGTTTGTGTTACCCCTAAAAATACTTATTTAAATACACTATAACTAGAGATAACCAGGACACCACAGAAGTAAACACCTGAGGGTGGACACTTTCATTTTTTCTTGGAGAGCAAAATATCTTACTCTTTTGGACCGTAATACGCAAACACTGGCTGACTTCATGTGGCCTTCTTAGGTATCCTTTTTTAGGGCCTGCTCATAACTCGTGAGGGATCTCGTAAGGGCTACCAAACTGATCTCTGCCTCTTCTTTTTTCTTTTCTTCTTTACAGGAGTAACAACAGTTCTCACCATGACCACCTTAAGTATCAGTGCCCGTAACTCTTTGCCAAAAGTGGCCTACGCTACTGCAATGGACTGGTTTATAGCTGTCTGCTATGCCTTTGTATTTTCTGCATTGATTGAATTTGCAACAGTGAACTATTTCACCAAGAGGAGTTGGGCATGGGATGGCAAAAAAGCCCTGGAAGCTGCAAAAATCAAGGTGCTTACCTTACATTTTTTAAATACCTAGAGTAAAAACCAGGTACTCAGTGTAGTTCAAATAACTGAATGGACAATTCTCAGCTGCTTTGTGAATAAGGTATTTAATTGCCTCGTGACATACTTTCACCTTCCTAGAGGAAAATTTGCAAGGAAATATGCCTCTTCACGGAGATAGCCTACCGGTCTCTACCGTCTGTATGAAGGGGATTGTTTTCAGAAGGATTTAGGGCATTGAGTACACGTGGCATGGGATTTCAGTGACCGAACTTCTGATAATAGCACATATACATGGTGAAACATGTCTCTGCAGAGCACTCCCTGTGCGCTCTCCCAAAAGAATGACAGAGCTCACATTGAGCTCCATAAGTCAGAGTCCCACCACAGTATCCCCAATAAAAAAGAGACAAAAGAGCAGTTATGTGAAAACACAAACTTTTGAGTTTCACACTGAAATGAAAAGTCTGGAATAATGATCTCTTAGAGAGAGCTTGTACCCATAGGCATCCCAAAAGAGCAATAATACGAAGAACGAGCCTTTCACCACGCTCCTTGCTGCAACCAGGGGGTGAGGCTCACGTCTTGGCAGCTGCCCATGGGGCAGCAACCTCCGCAGGTGCAGGACCGCGTTGCCCTGACGAAAGAAGCTGCTAATGCACACGCCAGGTGGGATTCGGGTCCGTCCGGCTGCTCTTAGCTTTCTTTGGCATCAGGGAAAGTTTAACCTGAGTAAGGGCTATAAAATCAAGGCAGAAACAGCTGTTTGGTAGTCAGAGTTGGAATAGCCAGCAGGCATTTGTTACCATGATTCATTACGGTACTTAGATTTTTGGGTTAATATCTTGAGAATGCGTTTCTGCTTTCTGTTACGGCGATCTAATGTTTTGTTCTTTACACTGCAGAAAAAGGAGCGTGAATTGCTGGGAAATAAATCAACTAATACTTACAGCACTGGGAAGATGACCCCTGCACCAAACATGCCAAAGGACTCAGCCCCATCTGTCATCTCAAACACTGCATCTGCTCCAGTGAAGTCTGCAGAAGAAAAGCCTGCTGAAAGCAAAAAGACTTACAACAGCATCAGTAAGATTGACAAAATGTCCCGAATAATTTTTCCAGTGCTGTTTGGAACTTTTAACTTAGTTTACTGGGCCACATATTTGAATAGGGAGCCTGTTATTAAAGGTGCCAATTCTCCAAAATAAACTGAAGGACTCTAAAGCCACATGTGAGCCATACTTACAAAGCAGATGCTACCAAGGAAAATTTGAGATCCAGACAACTTTCTACATTTGGGCAATATTCTTCAGGAAGTTTTTTGCATGTTTAATAATATGTACAAATAATATTGCCTTGATTGTTTCTACATGTAACCTCATGTTTTGGAGACGATTATATTACTTAACAGCAACAGATCTTTATAAGAGATCAGAAGACATTGAACATGGCTTCTTTGCTGCTGAGTATCTTGCATTGATAGTTTACAAATAAAGTAAGTTATATTTTTTAACTGTTGAAGTGTACTACATATCGTGGTTTTTATACTTCAGATGTACAGTCATACAAATATAGGCTTAACCTATATTTTACAGAAGAACTCCACTATTGTCATCTGATAAGTTACTGAGTAACGCCAGTTGTAAATGTGCCGAATTATTAAGTGTAGGGCTATGTTTGAGAACCTTTACTGGTTATAGGTAGTGCATTACTCCACAGATAAAACTGCTCAGCCCAATTTTCATTGGAAGTTAGTACGATGCAGTAAATCCTAATGGGGCTATGTTGATTTTCACTACTTGAGCCTCTAACTTGTAGTGAAGTAACATAGGGAGCAGGATGCTACATCTGTAAATAAAGGTGGTGGAATCTTGCCCTTAAAGGGAGATCTGAAGCTTGTTTGGATTTTGCATTCCAAGGAAATTTCTCGAATGATTCTCAGTATTTATTCCAAAAATTAGAGATGTATTGCATGAAATTAACATAGATTAGGAACATACTCGTGCAAATAACACTTTTAACAAAAGCAGTAGACATTTCTGTTAGGATAAAGTAAATGATGTTTGGACATTTTCCCAAGAAGATGATTGCATTATATCAGCGGAGATTAACAGTAAAGAATTACAGTAATTCTGCAATAATTACTACTTGTTTCCCACAGTGAAAACCAATCAGCCAACACTAAGAAGTATGATCAGAAAAAAAGATGTAGTTCGTGACAGCAAGGTGTTTCAGTGACAATATTGACAGAAAGGTCTTTGTACTGTCCATCTGAAACTTTTCTATAAAACGCCTTGCTGCTGCCAATGTGTTTTGCTTTCACAATGAATGAAAAAATGCAATCTGAGTTTTCAGCTCTTTCCTCCTTGGCATCTTTTCCTTGTTCCAGAAGCTTTTGTAATTTAATCTTAATGTTTAAATAAAAAATGCATTCAACATTTGGTTGCAAAATGTCATTCTTATACTAGTTATCCTTTTAGAGAGAGGAAAAAATCACCACAAAAGCTGGAAGAATTAATTGGAAAGCACACATGCATGCACTCAACCACCTGTGTGTGCATGACGCATCCTCACTGTGGACGGAAAAGGTACATATTGAGTGAAGACAGTGAATCAAGATGTTTCAGAATTAGGTGCTGTCTTACTATGGAGCATCAGCCCCATGTTCTATTTGGGACAGAGAGGCCAGTTCGTGCTTCACTTTGAGGTGAGGGTCTGGTCCAGGACTGGGGAGCTGTCTGGGCTTCTTGTGTTTCTTCTCTTCATCCCCCTCATTCCTAAACATTGCAGAGAAAAAACCTCACACACTTATTCCTTTTTGCAGCTTTTTGTTTGATGCTGTGGAATTAGAAATTGGCAAATACTACATAGCCACGGAGAAGCCACAGGACTGAGTGGGTGACTGGAAGCTGCTAAAGAGAAGCAAGGGGGGGGGCATGCCCATCTATTAGTTACAGATGGCTATCCTGCGCCAAGGTGAGGATTTGGATCTCTGTTTTCATGTAGGCTTCCCATGCAGCTTTGAGCAGCCACATGCCTCCTTGTTTATCATTTCTTTGTTTTTAAAAGTGGGATAATGATATCTGAATACAATGAATCTGGCCCTTTGGGGATCAAAAACAGTGAAAAATTGCAGAGCCTATTGGGACGCAAAACTTTATAAAGTCCCATGGCTATTTCTTTTCTTGCATGTAGGTTATTGCCACAAAAAGACTGGAGCAAACAAGACCTCCTGCTTTCTCGGTGAAGAGCACGTAGCTTTGCCAAGTCCAACAGGGATGCAATGCAGTGAAGCGCATACACATTGTACTGGGTGTCCCCAGTGATTCACTCACTAAGCACCTGCGAAACAGGTAAAAACACTGGGCAACTGGTGGAGGGGAGCAGATCTTTCTACTTATGCCAGATGGACCCTCTCGGTTGCAGCCTCTTCTGCCCTTTCCGATGGCCACAGAGATGTACAATGAATACCGTGCTAGGCTCCTAGAGGCTCAGTATCAGTTGAGGAGAGGTGACCCTGACATGCTGTCAGGGCTAGCAAACATAACAATTCCTCTTAGTTGAGATGTGCAGACCTGGAAAACTTTTCTTCCAAGCGCTTCATATGAGTGCCCATCCCTCCTGTGGCAAGGCAAAGTGGCCTGAAATGAGTGGCCTGGTCGGGTCTTATTAACCACTGAGGGAGACTGCCTGCAGCTCTACAGAGGAGTGTTTGCTCACTGCCCTTGAGTATTTTCCTGTGGTTGATGATGATAGGGCCTGCCATTGACACTCGTGGCAGACTGATGTGTGCCAAGTAACACATCTGGACAAGGCTTCTTGCTAGGAATCAATTTACCAACAGCTTGCTGTTTCTAGTCTCACCAGAATAATAGATGAGATGTGACTCTAGCAACATCAGTGGCACAGCGTAATGCACCAAATTAATCTTCCTCAACTAGGTGTCTGAGGATGATGGGTGGGCTGGTGAGGACCCATCAGGAGACAGTCCACTTGATGATTTGCCCTTTTTTTTGACTCCATGTGTACACATGCTACCATGTTGTTGGCAGGTATGTATCAATACCTATAAGCTCAATTCTCTTCCCAACCATTCTTGCAGCTACAGGTGGCACAGGCTCAAGCTTTTTTATCACACATTATTATTTATGACAATATTTGCAATTGCAAAGTTATTCTTAACAGTTCTTCCCCTCAGATACCAAACATTCAAGTTACATGAAAAACATGGTGAGTTTGGTTTTGGTTTGTTTGTTGGTTTTTTTTTTTTTTTTTAACACAGGAAGATTAAGTGCTTCTAGGGTATTAAACTAAAAACAGTTATTGAACAATGATGTTCCAAAGATGAAGGAACTAGTTGGACAGTCACTGACTGAAACCAGGTTCTGTGGGTTCAAGTTCCATCTGGAGTGTGGGACTTTTGCACAATTCTCTGAATAGATTGAACCTATATCAGGATCCTGAGATGCTAATTGCTAGAAGCTAAAGGAGTACCTGCAAGGAATATCAAATATACATGCCCTTTTCCTCTTATTCTCCCCAAAAAAACTCAGCTTCTGGCCACTTTCAGCCAGACCTTTATCCTGATTGCATACAGCTACTCAGCAAACGTTCTTCTGCAAGCAAAGGCTGGAGCGCAGGAACGCCTAGTCAGACCCTAGGCCACAAAGTGCCTGTGAAAGTGGCACCAGAGTGCATCTGGGACAATACAGAGGCTATGTTTACTACACTGTTGAAAACTATGAACAATCTGCGAACCTCCAGAGGACACCAAGGATTGTAAAAGGATGTCTGAATACACAGGAATCCCAAAACAAGAAAGAGAATCACAAGAAGTTGCTTTTCACCTTCCTCAGACTTCCACAAAAAGCTTCCAGTGTGAGTTTTTTTCACTACATGAACGAGAAACTCAGCATCTTCTCCAGAGCTATTCTGTCTGCCCCAGAGGGTTTTCTGTGCTTTGTTTTATTCACTTACACCCAAGCCTTACTCTCACTCTGAATGGCTCAGCATCATTTTCTGTTCTCCATTGCAAGACTCAGTGCCAGGACCTCTAAACCTGACCTATTGTGCTTACATGGAAAGTCTCCTTGTCTTCACTGAATACAGAACTACCTGCAGACAGTGGAGTTGCATGGTCGCAGGATAGGGCCCTTTGTTTTATTTAAGTAAACAACTTATCAGAGTTTACCCAATGTGTAGAGGACCTGATAATTACCTGCCAAAGGCATATGGCATGACAGACATTCTATACATAAATCGCTTCCAGTTATATTCACTGTCACTTTCTGTGTTTGAAGGTAAAGGCAGAAAATAATGCTTGGAGCTCATTCTGTTATCATGGATTTGCTAAACCAGGTTGAAGTTTCCTGAAGAAACTGTCTGTCTTATGTTTCTCAGAGAATCGCACGCCTTCCTAATCCTTGCTGAGAACTGAAATGACAGAAGAAGCAGCCACGTCACAGTGTGTGCTCTTGCCTAAACAGTAGGTATTGTCCCATAGGTTGGGAGATGCTTCAGCACGCCGGTCGATTCCAGGCTGGAATACTTAACTGCCACTGCCTCACACTACACAACACCTAACAATTTAAATCTCTCTGCTGTCGGTGGATCTGTTTGTGTGGGAGACCATTACTCACTGATGACATCTGAACTGTGGGAGATGGGAGCATTTCCCAGATCCCGGCTCAAAGTAAACACCTTGGCCTTGTCCTGCTCTGGGCTGGGGCGGTATCTGGATGTGCATCAACCTCCTCTGGTTTCCCCTGGAAGGAGTTTCGGCCTTCAGGAGTGGGGTGAGCTGTGTCACTGTCCGCAGTACGGGTGAGTTGGGACCCTGCGGGGCACAGCTAATTCACAGCTTAGTCACCACCAAAGAGAGTAATAAATAGGAATTGCTTGTCATTGGGTTTTTCCGGTATGCTTTCATGAAAAAAAAATATTGAAAAGTGAATTATAACAATTCAGCACTGGAGAGTAAGTGTGTGCAGTTCTACTGCCAAATTTCCTCACTTACACACATTAAGAATGAAAGAACAAGTCAAATACAATGGAAAAGGTCTTTTATTTCTGATGTTTGAGCTGTGCTAGCTTACTCCAACGATGAATTTAGGCAAGAATGTATTTTCTAAGCTTAGCCCTCTTCTGTTATCTTGAATTGTGTTCTGCTTTTTTCTAAATGGAATATGCACTCTGTGGAGTAACTAAACATATTTGTGCAAAACTGAAAGAAATTATTTTATGAAATAATCTTGTCTTTCAAAAATTCTTGCTCAACGTATAAATTAAACCTTCAAGAAAACTGAATGAAACTGCTTTGCTGTTCGGTTTATGCAAACAAGATGAAGGTAGCACTTGCACAGCTATTTGTTTTTTAAATCTGGAGATAATGTTCATTTTAATAAGGATATATTTCCCCTAACACCCTTGC